CTTTACTTAATACGAAATTTCTGTAGTATTTATTTTTTAATATCAATCGGCAAGTTCAAGTTTTTCTTTGGAATTCTGTTAGGTGATTTCTTACATTGGTTCATTATTGATTTGCTACTTGTTTTCTGTTACTGATTTGCTACTTGTTTGTTGTTCATATATGATTATGAAATCTGATGTGTCCAGTGTTCTATAAAAAAGGGAATGTGTTTGGAGGCAAGCTGTTTGATCAAATGCCTGAGAGGGATAATACTTTCTTAATATGCATGTTTTCACTTATCAGTTGTAATATACATGTTTTAATGTTTAACTTTTGAATTTTGATGTTGGCAACTTGGGAAGGAACAATAGATGCATGTTTTCTGTTAGTTGTTTTTGAATGCTGTTCTTAAGATGATTATATATTTCTTTGAATGTAATTTAGACACTAAAAAGTGCTTATCAAGTTATAGCTTTTTGACATCGGATAGCTAATCCAAATAGTTTTTAGAAAACTCCGTTTCGTAAGTTAATAAGCTATAGCCTATAAGTTAAAAAGTAGTTATCATTTTAAATGAGCTTTACCCTCTTTTAAACATTTAAATTATTATTCCAACAATAACATAAAGATTTTTCAGTTACAAGGATGGCAGGAATAGCTTTGCTTATGGATCTAGTGAGGAAAAATCCAAACGTGAATGGTCAAACCCTACATTCTACCGGTTTATACTCAGCCACGCTTGCTGCCTCCTCCGCCGCCGCTTATGCCGCCGCCACCACCCCCTTTGCATCTAAGGCTATATTCGGGTACGCGACCTAATCTAGTTCTGTTTTTCCATCTGGTAATTTGATCTTAATAAGTAGTATATAATATATATGTGGAATTCTCAAGAAATTCACTAGTAATTCCAGTGATTCAGTTAGTCTGTTAATAATGATTCTTGATGTGAGTGAAACAGGTTTGGTGGAAGAAGAGTTGCTTATTGTGATGCTGGTGCTACTTCTCCTCTTCTGACTGAAGATTACCTTACCAGTTTAAGAACAGCATCCGAAACCATCTTTCGACACGATACTTTGGACTACAGAACCAAAGAGTATTACATCGAGCTAAAACCATTGTGGTCTGCTTTTCAGGCGAGATCACTCGCGCTAACATCATTGAGGTCTTTCTTACTTTTCTATTTGCCACTTTTGGCGCCTAATGTTGAAGATGATGATGATTTCTTACCGGGTTCTTCGGACGAGCGTCATGTGGACTTGGTTGTACCCTTCAAGAAATCAGTAAAGCAGATCCTTCGTGAAGTAAGCATGAAATTGATGATTTTCATTATTTTTGTAATTAGAAACAATAAGTTGATATTTTGAATTTTCATCATCACAGACTAGTGTTGTTACTACTAGACGGGTTCTGGAACGACTTGCTGTTCACCATTTCTCACAGCGAGCAGCGTGGAAGCTTCTTAAAGGTACAATCAATCAAATCAATGTCCACATAACTCTTCTCTTTTCATCCATTTCACTCGCTGATTGTTTTTCTTTCCATGCTTAGATGTTCCCAAGTCTGCTGTGCGCAAAGCTAACAGGGGGATGCCATTTTATACTTACTTTTTTTGTGTCGGTAGAACCACATTTAGAGGTCAGTTTTTAACTTCAATTTTTTTTTTTGCTATACGAATATACTATATAATATTATTATAATTGTATATATTGCTATAGATATGGTCTGCACGTTTTCATTAAAAAAAAAGTTCAGCATGTAGTTTTTTACTTCAGCTCTATGTTGATTCTATTAAATCTTCTTGTGCTTTGTAACCTGCAGATTGCTTCTGTAGAAAAGCTTAATTCAACTCAAAAAGCAGTAGTGTCAGATGAATTTACTATTCTATCCATCATAGATATCATTTTGATGCAAACTGCCATTATGCTTATATGCTTTGCTATGACACCCAAAAAACACACCAAGTTATCTTTAAGCAAGAGATATTTAGCAGTTCTTTTATTGTTTTTCTGTGCTATGAACTATTGATAGGATGGTTAGTATTGCTCCTTTTGCTATACTTAAGCCCTTTTTACACATTTTTAGCAATTTAATGGTTAGTGTGCAACAAAAGTATAACATGATGGTCAGAAAACTTGGTTGCTGAAATTTTAGGAATTTATGTGCACCATTGGCTTTGTTTTTCAGTTCTTGATGGTTGATTTTTTTGGTAGCTAGCTAGTCAATAACTAAACAGATTGATTTGATGTTTGCTGAGTGTGAGCAGGTCATTTCCTAGGAGTTGCAGCATCATGGGTTGTTCAAGTTGGAATAGAAAGCTACCGGTTTGTGCGTGACATTTCAAAATCTGATGATGATGGTGTTGAGCGGGAAGAACAAGTGAAAGGTCTTGGGAAGAAGGTGTATGCTGTCACACTTCGATGTGGTGCCTCGCTACTTTTTGCATCCATTGGAGCTGGGATCGGTGCCACCCTTTTCCGCCCATCAACCGGTCAATCAGTTGGTAAGCACCAGCCTTCATTACAACATTGTATTCTCAAAAATCTACCCATAAAAAACACTTTTCACAACCATAACTTTTTAATTGCAACCTACTTTACTCTTTCCACCGATATACCCAATGTACTTTATTTTTTGCCCAAATAGCAACATGCTTTCATTTTTTTTTTTTTTTAACTTTATCTTTATGTTTCATCCCATAATAACAACATAGATACATTTTGCTACCACTACGGGTAAAATGTACTTTCTATGCTAGTGCTACATATTTTTGTTAAGTAGGTTTCTATTATCGGTAATGAATTGTACGTGCTTGCTAATCTGTAAAGAATTCAAGTATGGGTACACATTGCTACCATCAGTAAAAAATGTAAACATGATGCTCTATCATTCATCGCTAAAGAATCGTAACTAAATTGCCTATTATGGGTTCATCATTGTCTAAATTGATAAAATGAGTAAAGTACATTGCTATCTTTCACAATTTAAAAGATCATGTCATGTATAATGTGCTCATAAGAAAAAAAAAGTATAATGTTATAGTTGGAATGGATAGATTTTATAACGTCCTTACACTTGGGTAGGTTGTTTCAAATAGTGTCTTGCTAAGGAAAAAAAAGTATGTTGTAACATGACAAAAGGAAACAAAAGTAAGATGCTGCCTGTAATAAATCTAGAATTAATGAAAGTACATTGCTAATTTTGCATTCAATTGTCATGCATAATTTAGAAAAAAAAAAATTGTTTTTGGAGTTGGGGTTGTTGAGTGATATTGTTGTGTTGTTTGTTTTACAGGGTGTTTGATTGGGGACTTGGCGGGGCCTATTATTGTATCGATTTGTTTAGGCAACGGTTCTCCTTTGGAAGTTTAGATGCTATTTGTTTTTTGTCAACAGTTGATTGAAGCTCGACTCTTGAGAGAGGTTGAATTTGAATGAATGAATCTTAAAACAAAGGTTTTACCTGTAAAACAATATTGGGAGGTGTATCAGTATCTTTGTGAGCATTGCTATGTGCAGCCAACCATTGTAACGAATAATATATATTTTATTTTATTTTTCTTTTCGCGAGGGGGTGCTGCCTTCAAAATAAGATATACTCTTTGAATTTCTTACAACTTGATAAAATTTGATTTACTATTATTGTTTGGATCACTGCTTCACTTTTTTTGGCAATGGTCAAAAACAGTGTACGTTAACTCATTTTCTATAATAATTAACGTGGGCATTTATAAGATGCTATTTTGGATAAAGTTGTATGAGATAATTTCTATTTAGCTTTGGCTCATGGTTATTGTGTTGTATTCTTGTATGCAGTGGCACTTTAAACATCTTAAATGTTTAAGCTTATGACTTTTTCTACAAATTGTTTTACTTAAATGATGTTCGCCATGAATTTCATTTCACAAGTTTTTAAATTCTTATTAAATATTATTATTTAAAATAGCTCTTACGACGCTCAAAATGAATATGGAGTGATAATAACAATACATGATTTTGAACATGGAGTGACAATGACAATACATGACACCACATCTAGTGTCGTTGGTGAGGATCGAGTTTTGATTTTTATCCCACCGACTCAATAAAAAAATAGTAAACTTTAGTTATGTTGTGTAGGTGTATATTAAAATATTAGTATTTGCCTCAAATAGCTTGGTCCCCTTAAGATTTTTGAAGAGATCCTCTCGGTAACATTTAACATTCACTGAGATTGATCCTCCAAGGCCAGGATCCTGAAAAAGAAAATGGAAGCACTCCCATCCCAGCCATAAATACAACCATGCTGTGATCAAATGAACAACTAATACGTCCAACCATCCAAGGAGGGCATCAGGTCCATGTGATTGCCCTCCCTATCCATACAATATTTACAAAGGGGGGCTACACTTACAGATCAACCACTTCATTCATAAACAAAAATAACATCAATATTAAATTAGTTATAGTTAAACAACCAACAACCAACAACCCATTGTATCTAAATATTTTATGTACGAACTAAGAACATGTTGGTTTTATGAAGAGGTGGATGGAAGTTTTGTTGAAGCAGTTATTGGTATGCATATGTGGGTATATGTTACAAAGTTGCCGTTGCTTGTGGATGTAACATTTCTTTTATGTAGGAAAACGTTTTTCAAAATTAATAGCATTAAGTCAAGTCAGAACAGGTAGCAAAGCTTTTGAGAATTACTGTAATGTAAGTAACATTCACCAAACAATTATACCATTTTTACACCAAAATAGTATCACTTTTAGTGTAAGTGTAATTCATCATCTCCAACATATTAGAGCCTCCATAATAGTATTAGTAGAGCTTGTTTTCCTAAACTTTTTCAATACATATAAGCACCAACTCATCAATTTAAAAAGCTCCAAGAAAACTACTCTATATAATATCAGCTTATTTATGGAGCCACCAATTTGTATGAGAGTTTTTTCATCGACTTATGTATGGGAACCACCAGTAGTTTAATTGTCTTTTGTATAAGGTGAATATTAACACTTGATCGCACCATAATGATTGAAATTTTGTTAAAAATAAATGAGGTTAATCAAGATGAAAAAATTCAATTATAATAGAAACTAAAAATAAAGAAAACAAAATCTTCACGATTAAATTGATTAAGCTGTTGATAACTTAAGTATTTGTTGAAGCAGCAACTCTATGGTTTTGATTTTTTCCCTTTGGTTTCTTTAGTAGCAGGAGTAGCTTGGAAAGGGATGAACGTCTTCCCACCCATGAATGGCTGTAGCACTTGAGGCACTTCAACACCATCTTCCCTCTGGTAATTCTCAAGAATGCAACACATAGTCCTCTCTGTTGCTGTGAGTGTGGAATTCAATAAATGGCAGTATTGCTTTGTTTGTTCATTGCTCTGCACAACCCAAATCAACACCACTTAATAATGAAATAAACAAATACGACTGAAAAAATAAACCCAAACCTTTTTCTGCCCAAATCTGATCTCCAACTTTCTCGACTGGTAATCAGTGCAATTTGAACAAGACACAAGTTCTCTGTAAGTGCTGGATGCAGGAAACCATGCTTCCAAGTCATACTTCTTTGCTGCAGCATCGTTTAGTGCACCAGAGACTATAGAGACTATATGATACGGCAATTTCAACTGCAATTTGCATACCACAAATATATATCATATACTGTATTTTTTTTTTAAATATCTGCGGGTCTATGGTGAAAATTAATAATTAGTAATTACCATTTGGTAAAACTCCTCAGAGTTTTTAATCATCTCCTCGTGCATGTCCCATGAGTCATTGGCATTAGGACTGGTGATACAAAACTGTTCAACTTTCTCAAACTGATGAACACGGAAGATTCCAAGAGTGTCACGACCATGTGACCCAGCTTCTTTCCGGAAGCAAGACGAATATCCAGCATATCTGATCATTTTTCCAACCAAAAAGAGGATATGTTTTTCTTTACTTAAAAAATTAAGACAGTAAGGGTGCGTTTGGTTATGGAAAATTTTCCAAGAAAAACAGAAATTTTGAAAAAGCATTTGGTTCGTTCAGTTTTCCAAAATTTTATAAGAAAATGAAAATTTTCAGTTTTCCAAATTGTATGTAAATTAGAAAAGTGATTTTTACAGTTTTCCAAATTTCTAAGATGGAAAATGAAAACTCCCCCAGTTTCAACCAAACGTGTTTTCTAAAATTATCATTGAAAATTGAAAGCGCAAACTCAACTCTATTTTCTGAAAACATTTTCTTAGAAAATGAAAACAGTTTTCCACAACCAATCGCACCCTAAATTTTTTCTGCAAATTAAAGGGTATTATTATTATTAAGGAAACCTTACCTTAGTGGTAGCTGTGTTGGATGAATCCAGTCATCTATGTGATAAGCACAAAGTGGTTGTTCAGCAGTAGCAATCAGATACTTGTCATCTCCCTCACCTGTTACCTATCAAAGAGGATAAACAAATTCATGAGACTTTTTAATCTTGAATATTTGCCACAACACAAGTATTTAGTTATTTACCTTGTAAAGTTCTTCATCGAATTGGGCTAATTGAGCACACTTTCCCATTATATCTTTCCTCATAAAGAATGGAGTTTGCAATGATGTGAAGCCCCTTTTCTCCAGAAAATCAAGACCAAAGTTTATAAGAGCTTGATTTAGACGCACACCATCTCCTTTCAAATAAAATCCTCTACCACCAGCTACATTAGCACCTGAATATAACCAAAAAAAAAAAACATTTCAATTTGCTTAGAAGACATGTTAAAAGAACCCAACTCAGGTGAATCAAATAAATTTTAATACAAAACCTCTTTTCAGATCTGCAATTCCAAGAAGTTCCACAAGCTCGACATGATTTTTTAGTTTTGGCTCTGTTCTTTTCTCCCCCCAAGTGCGGACAACAGCATTATTTGCCTACATATATACAAAATGCATAATGGAAAAGAGATACACACATATTTATTATTTAAAGAAACAAGAAAGGAAAAAATGTCCACCTCATCATTGCTAACAGGAACTGAATCATGCACAAGATTCCCAACCACCTCCAGTTTTGAATATAATGCTGCACGGGCTTCCTGAACCTCTGCATCTTTTTTTGCAGTTGAGTCCTTGTTTTCCTCTGTATTTTTTATCATGGAACTGGCATCTTCCCCAGCCTTCAGATGAATTTAGTGTTAATAAATACTGTAAGTTCATGTTCATCATATGCTAATGAAAGGCAAGATTTTCAAAGATAGAAAGACTTACAATTCTAAGTTTAGCCACTTCTTTGTTAATCCTGTTAAAGTCTTTGCGCAGCTGTTCAAGCTCAAACTGACCTGTAAATCAAAAAATGAAAAGAATAAATAAACCAAATGGTTCCAGAGTTATGTAATATATAAACACAAAGATGAATCAATCAAATTCAAAATGAAGCTTACGTTGTCGCCACTCCTTGTCGAGATGAATAATTTCATCAACAATATCTACATTTGCAAACCTGCGGCGTTGAGACTCGCGTATAATTTCTGGGTTGTTGCCTTTTTCCTCCCTAAATAGATTTATGTCCAACATGTTTTCTCCTTCTTTCTTGCTTTCTGGTATAAAGGTTGACATAGTTTACGAGTTAAAAACATAGATATTTACACCAAATCCAACCCACAGATAAAATCAAACAACCAACGCATCCTCTTACAACTAAAACAAAAACAGCCTATGTAGTTTGTAGTGTGCATCTCCGATTCTCATTTGTAACCAAGATTTCATATCTAAACAAGACACTTCTCTCTCAAAAAAACAAAAAACTCTGTTGGGGTATATGTAAGCAGTAGCTAATATACACAAAATAAGTAGACCAGTAAAATTAGGCACATGACATTCAACCTATATAATACTATCACTTACATAACCAACATATAGCTCTGGAATGTTTTTGATTTGTAGATAGAGAATAGCGGTGAATATATACACTATGTAGCCATAGCGATTAAAAAAAAACTAAGTTTAAATATAATCAATAAATAAGCAAACAAACCATGATACTAGCAAAAACACTTGATCATTTTAGTTTTAAGGACATGTTTTGATGCAAACTATGAACAATGGTATGAACTTCAGTTAAAACTTATAACTTACAATGATCAATTGCGTCAATCCATATTCCATACTTATACAATCAACGAACCTCATACTTGCTCAATTGAGTCAATTTTCGGTTACTTTCAGTAGGGAAAATTACAAGAAAAAGCTTCGAAAAAAAAAACTGAAAATAACATTAAATAATCAATTGGAAGTTAATATGCGTGACAATGGCATACTTGCAAGTACTTCAAGAGTTCAAATGATCAATTTGATCAAATATAAGAGTGAATCAGAGAAGCTTAGAAAAATATAATAATCATAAATATAAGAGTGAGAAATAGTGAAAGCATTTACATGAAACATGATCAATAAAACATGTATACATATCATAGAAGCTTAGAAATACAGAAATCAGAAAGATAAGAGTAAAAAGCATCTGAAAATGAAAAGGAAAAACCTTAGAAGCAGAGATTTTAACTCAGAATCGGATGAGGAAGGTGTGATGGAACGCCGGAGGTCAGCGGTCGACGGCCTGGAGGAAGCACCAGAGGTGAGTGGATGCAGAAAAGGTAAAGAAATTGAGGGTCGATTGAGAGTGAATCGTTGTAGGCGGTATTTTCTTTGACCTAAGTCAACGCCGAACCCTAAATTGTCTAAAAAGGAAATAAAAAAAATCAAAAAGATAAAAAATTTCTCCTAACAAAAGAGTAAAATTTTGTCCACATGTAAATATTTCTGAAGTTATACACATGTAAATATTTCTGAATTTATAATTATCTTTCACAGACATTCTAAAAATTGCAGGTGTGCTCCTATTCTCACTTTCCCGCTCACCTTATATCTCCATTATCTCTCAATCTCTCGTTTCGACGTATTTCTTGCTCAATCACAAGTTACGATCCCGAAATCATCGTGTTGTTCAAAATTGAAATCCGTACTTCTCCTCCTTAGATTTAATTCAATATATCATCTTCTCATCATCTCCACCGCAATTGTGCAATGAAAATCACAATGCCTAACCTCTTCTTTATTTCCTACTCAATATGATATACAGCGTGATTTGGTTTTCCCATCAAAACCCTAGCCCCTTCTTACCTTATCACATCCCCAAAATAGTAGGATATTAGTTTTTGAATTCGAATTCCCGTTTACCTCTTTTGAATCACATGAAACACTTTCTCTCTTAATCGTTCTCCTCCCGGACACCATTCAAAACCCTAAACAGGGTCTTGATGAAGGCTATGAATGGAGTTTTTTTTTATTAGGATAAAGGCCTCACAATCCATGAATATTTGGATGAAGATGAAGAATTCTTGATATGAGTTAACTTTCTTCAGGTTGGTTTATTTTTGCTTATATGTTTTTGGTTAGCTTAGATGTCCATGTTTCGATTTCGTTGCTTCCATTTAATTCCCTAGATCACCATTTTATTCCAATTTCAAGCCTTCAAATAAGGTTTTGGTCTTGATATTGATGCGCGAAGCAGAACATGGCTAAAGAAAAAGAAAAACGAATTAGACCTGGGTCGATTCATCTCAATTAGCAACAAACTTGCCCCATAAAAATGAGATTTTAGAATGATGTTTCTCTAAAGGTTCTTATATTTCCTCTTCTAATTGATATTGATATTGATGATCTTAATAGTGATATGTTGGTCTGATAATGCAAGATATTGGATGGCCATTTGAGAGACCAACAAAATCATGAAAAAGCAGAGCCTTGTATCATTAATTTATATTTTTTTTCACCCTTCTAATTCTAAAGGTGTTGAAGTCTTAACATTATTTGTTTTGTTTGTAGTTGTTACATGAACTGAGGCTTAATAATTCAACATTACTATTGATTTCTCTATGTTACAATCATAGGTGTTTTATAACTGGTAATCAGTACAATATATTACTTGGAATGATCTTGTGGAGGATAATAGAGAAATTGGTGCGAAGGAACCCATATTACAAGTTATACTCATTTTTTTTTTCTATGATTAGATAAGATATAATATAATTTTTATCTTTAATCTATACTAAAAGAATATAAGTTCCACCATAATTTTCCATGTGTAACTTCTCATTCTGTTTCAGCTCCATTTTCTCGCCCATGTATAACAGTATTGTTGGCAATTCCTGCTTGAAAATGAATCTAAATAGCTTTGCACATTCTCATTCAATTTCATATTCCATTTTATATACATGAATCTCGCTGCTGTTGCAACCAATTTATTAATTTATATATTTTTTTCACCCTTCTAATTTCTAAAGATGTTGAAGTCTTAACATTATTTTTTTTGTTTGTAGTTGTTACATGAACTGAGGCTTAATAATTCAAAATTACTATTGATTTCTCTATGTTACAATCGTAGGTGTTTTGTAACTGGTAATTAGTACAATATATTACTTAGAATGATCTTGTGGAGGATAATATAGATATTGGTGCGAACGAACCCATATTACAAGTTATACTCATTTTTTTCTATGATTAGATATAAGATATAATATAATTTTGATCTTTAATCCATACTATAAGAATATAAGTTCCACCATAATTTTCCATGTGTAACTTCTCATTCTGTTTCAGCTCCATTTTCTCGCCCATATATAACATTATTGTTGGCAATTCCTGCTCGAAAATGAATCTAAATACCTTTGCACATTCTCATTCAATTTCATATTCCATTTTATATACATGAATCTCGCTGCTGTTGCAACCGATTTAGTTTGCAGACCAATTTTTATTAATATGAATCTCATAAATCTCGGTAAATTCACATCTCAAAATTTAAATTCTTCCTATAAGTTACCAATATGAAATCAGTGTATGTGTCTTCCATATTTTTGTATGCTTGAAAAAATGGCAATTTGGACTATACATGTCACATTTTGATGAATAAATATTCGGTCTTATTATACAGTTGTTGATTCAAATCTTTTTCCAAATAGGTGTACAACTAAGAGAATAAATGTTGTAAGTTCCTTTTGCCCTTTCTTTTCATGGTTATGTTTGGTTTATTATATTATATGATGCAAAAGAATAGCAAATTAACTTTTTGGGGTTATATTATTGAAGATGTAATTAAATGTACAGGTGCTAATAAAATGACATTTTTGTGATGTCTATTTATCTTAAAGTACAATGCTTTTATGAGATAGATTGTTTTTTAACATATATATGCATTATGTTAGATGTCTGTTTTTTGTCTTTGAATGATAAAAAGCTCCACTAAAATTACTATAAATTCTCTTATGTCATATTTTATATTTGTTCCTTTTTATTTGTTAGATGCATGGAAATTGGTTTTCATGTGAATTTGTACAAATAATCATTAAAGGACACACATAACCTTGTGTTTATTTTGGGCTTGGTCACATAGGTTTCAACAAATAAGAATGGTGAAAATAATATAAAATTATAAAAATAGAAGCATGATGAAAAAAATAGTCAATTCTGTTTACTCATGGATAATACTAAAGGCTTTTTTGGACAAGTTTACCCTCAAGGAAGAAGAACCTCATATTTAATTGGTGATAAAGTACACGGGAAAAACTCTATAACTTGGTGTAGGTTTTTGTTGGTAATTCCTTTTAATAAATTTTATTTTGTTCTAAAAAAGTTATGATTGCTTTTGAGAGGAGAGTACAAAATGATCACTAAAAGAGATTAAATGGTTATTGCTTTTCTAACCATTTTAAATATTCTTTTTAGTTAATAGTTATAAACTTAACCTATACGTCGGTTATTATATATTCTTTGTGACATTGTATTATTAAATGAAACCTTTTTGTTATAACAGATTGTTTTATTTAAACCATGTAACACACGTGTTATAACCTAGTAAATAAATAAATAAGCAAAAGCCATCTCCTACTATCTTCAATGTTTTATGTATGTTGATCGGCGTCGCACACCACCAACCCATCGGTTTAAAGTCGCAAACCACTTGTACACCTATGGTCCACCACTACTCATCGCTCCATCCCTAAACCACCAATGTCGGTGAAACCTACCTGTGAATCCGCGAACCTATATAATTAAATTAAACAAGTTATGTGGGTTGGTTGGGTTGATGTTTCTGACCCGTGACCCACCAACCTGAATGTAAATATAGGTTGGGATGGGTCGATGCATTCAGACCCGAGAACCTGACCGACCTAATTGTCAACTCTAATCAGCCGCATCTTTCCCCATAAGACTATTCGAGATGGCTACTAGTCAAATAGTGGTCACCTCATCATCAAACCATTCCATAAAACATTTTACAAGATGCCTATTAGTAACTAAGGAGGTGTTCACTAGTGAAGTACCAAGAAGAAGATAGAGAAAAGATAAACCGAAAGGGGAAAGAAGAGAGAGAAAGCTTCTCTCTCTTCACAAGGCTCCGTGAACAATCATACAATCCAGCACTCTACAAGACATATATCAGTATCCGATGGTGTTCATTGGTGGAAACCTCCATCCACATCATATTATACGCGTAAAAATCCCCCATACCCCTTAAACTAATATTAGAGAATATTGTCCCATTGAACTTTATAGTATTTTTGTTTGTGTCCTTCCATTTCAAGTATATTTGATTACTCACAGTTATACTTTTTATTTATTTGAGCACATATTTTTTTTCCTAATTCTTATTTTAAAAGCTTCAACACTTTAGTCGTCCCCTCTAGTCGGGTCCTCCGATATGTCAAACCATGCTTGCGCCAATACCTTCTCTTCTTCATTGGTTTAACCTTGGATTTAAAACCTTCCATTTCCTTTACTTTTTTGTTTGGATTCGGATTATATGGGCCCCTCATTGGAAGAATCGATAGAATCATTAACTAGGCGTCAGAGTCGGGATTGGAAATTGGGTTAGGGTTGGGAAAATAATTGGGTTTCGGCAACCATCAAAAAAAGCTTAACTTTGAAATTGGGTACGAGTTAGGATTGTAAATTCGTTTGTTGTTAAGATTGGAAATAGATTTCGGAGTGGAAATTGGGTTAGGGTCTTTACATGAATTGTGATTAAGAAGAGTATTGATGAGGAAGTTGATACAAATATGGAGCCATGGCCGAAAAATGGCAACTTGTAGGTGAACAAATAGGTTGATTGATTGAGTGACGGTCGATAACAGATTGGTGATGAATGCTTTGGTGAAGATGTGTTGTTGGGATTTGAAGATTTTTTATTGTTTCTTTTTAGGGATTTGGTATGTCTAGGTGGAGACATGTTGTTGTGTTTGAAAGATTGAAGGATGTTTTGAGGGAGGAAAAAAGAGATTATGTGTGGTGAAATGTGAATGCTTATAAGAGAATTTATAAAAATAAGTTTAAAAAGTAGTCAAAATTTTTTAGTATTGGTCAAAAGTTTCCCTTACTTTCTTTATCCTCTCTCTTCTCGTTGGCCAGATGGAGAGGGCTCATTGGAGGAAGAATGGCATATTGGCGATGTCTTAGCGAGGACCACTCCCTCTAGTCTTAGATCAGACGGAGTGGGTGCGGTCTAGGCCGCACTCCATCTGCCACAATCATCACGTACACCGCCCCCTGGGTGCCAGGTGCGGTCTAGGCCGCACTGCGACCTTCCAAGGGTGTGCTCCTTGCTTAATTTTGATTGGTTATCGTGGTTTACCGTTTTTAAACGATCATTTTTAAATTTTTTTTACCAATACTATGAATACTTTATCAACTTAACCAAAAAAAAAAAAAACTCATCAACATTTTATGTTTTTTACCATCTTCTCTCTTTTTAAACCCACAAAAAATGTCATCCTCCAAAAATCCAACCAACAAAAAAACATCCACTAGAAAACCCACAACTCCAAGACCTTCACTCGAAAAAACATCCACTAGAAAACCCACAACTCCAACAACCACGTCCTATGTAACCATTTCCGTAAACACAACCACAATTTGACCAAGATTTTGATCCTTTTGATTTTGGTTCCCAACCAGAGTTTGTTACAGAAACACAATCACAACCACAAACACCCAATTTCGAATCTGAACCAGAATTTTTCCACAAACTCAACCCTCTCAACCAGGAAATAAAAGAAAATAGAAGGTGGAAGCTAAAGCGTGGTCACCTCAAGAAGAGTTAGTATTAACACAATCATGGATTGACGTTTTAGAGGATGCGAAGATGGGAAGGAACAAAAAACATGATCGTTTTTGGATGTGCGTTAGAGCTCGATTCCACAAAGGAATGAACCTGGAACCATATCATACGAAACGTCAGATGTACTTAAAATGGGGAAAGATGAACAAAGACATGATGTTGTTTAACGAGTTATATAACTACATGAAACGACAATGGGAAAACGATGAAAGTGACGAAGTGGTTTTGGAGAAACCTTTGAACATTTATCAAAAAAAGCAAAAGAAGACATTCAAGTTTTTTGAGTTTTAAATCTACTCAAAAGCAACAAGAAATGGCAAAAATTGAAAACAAGTGACGAGCACATCAATAGCGGATCAAAACAGTCAACAATTTCGAATCCGAACACACTTCATCGGATGCGCGTGTTGGTTTTGACCTCAACGAATATGAGTTCGTTCAAGTGTCACCACCCTCGACCAATGGGAAAAAGGACAAAACAAAAAACAAAGGAAAGAGCAAAGCGTCAAAATCGGATGACTTGAAAGAAACGGCCGAGAACGTGGAAGGCATAAAAGATAGAATTGATAATTTTTTGCAACTTACTTCGGATAGAGAGAGTCAGAAACAAAGGGACAGTGACCTGAGAGTGCTATCAATGGACACGTCGAATTTGACCGGGGATGCGCTTCAAGTCGTTTTGCAAATGATGGAAGTCGTGAAAACGCGTTACGTTAATCGTGGTTAATTTGTAGTTGTTTTCCAAGTTTTTAATTATTTGATGTGTGTTTTTTTGTTTTTTGTTTTTTTTTTTAAATTTGTACGTTTAAGCTTTCTAGTTTTTTATTTTCTAATTTCCTAGGATTTTTTTAAAGTAATGTAATGGTTTTTATTTTTAATTAATGATTTTTTTTTATTTAAAACATAAAATTTTATTTATTTAAAAATAAAAATAATTTAAAGGAGTGTGGCACCACTCCTTGGATGTGGTATGTGACCACACTTTTGTGGTAATGG